AAAAATTTAGGAGATTAAATGGTTAAAACCACTCAAAAGATTAACATGATCAAACATGTCAATTGAATCAATCAAAATGTAAAATGTAATTGAATTAAGTAATATTACCTAATAGAACTCACTAAATACTTCATTTAGTTTTGCAAACGGATTGGTTTTGGTTTTTAATGAAAAAGATGTAGGTCAGGTCATCTAAACCCAAAGCAACTCATTAGAAGCAAATGCTCAACCATAAACCGGTGCAATTGTTAGTTTCCAACAACATTAAAAGGTCGGATATGTGTTAACTGTAAATACAATATGTCGTAAAAATAAGCAATTCATTGTGTAGCGGAATGTGTAGTAAAGATAAGCTCTATGTACAGTTACAATGTTCCAATTTGCTTAGAAAAGGTGATTATAACTCACATAATGGTGTAACAAAGAGTCTAGAAAATAACATTGAACCGCTTCTTCGGGTGACAAAAACAACAGTGGAGTTTTTGTCAAATAAACAAAAAGACTGCAAAATTTCACAAATGCATTGACTCACCTAGTTTGGCAACTTAGCTGAACTCTATTTTCCACTTGGTTTTGAGACAAATGTAATTCACAATAGTTAAGTCATGATATAAAACATCATTTCTATATGTAAAACAAGAAAAAATACAGAGTATTTTTGGGACTTTATCTAAGTGGAATTGCAAAAAGAATAGAGGCATTGCAATGGAAGAAAATCAGATTTACCAAGGACAGGATAATATTTTCTCATCTTATGTACAATCCAAACAATGAATGGGGCAAAGCCTTGTTTTGGACCAAATTTTTAAGTTTCTTAGTGTATTATGATGAAATGAACAATCTTTTGGCAAGTTTCCTACTATTTTACAATGTAGAATGGTGATTGAATGTAAATGAAGTAGCCCTGAGAAAGCAAGTGAGAGGGAGCAATATATGCTGAAGTGGCAATTTGAAAAAGGGAGAGAAGAAAGCTGAGGTGTCTTCATGAGAGAACATCTCTAATTTAGTAGAGAGATTCTCTACCAAACTATCTCTAATTCCTATTTATCCTCTCCCCCATTTTTCATCTAGACTTATCTAAAGAAAGTTTCAATTAAAAAATTCAGAACTATTTAAATGCTATAACGAAATTATATACTAAATTTAAAATATTTATTCAAAACACAAAAAACTAATAGATTTAATAATATTCATATTATTAATAATTCAATATTTTTACAAAATTCATCATGAAATTATGTAGTAACAATATAAATTATAATTTTACAATGATTCAATTTAAATTTTATTCAAATAATAAAAATTTAACAATAAAAAGTAAAACAATATTTCAATATTTCAATAACTAAAATATTAAATAAAAAACATTAAAAATAGCTAAATAATATAACAAAATATTTATTATTACGTAATAAAATTAAAATAAATAAATTTCAAATAATGAAAAATTTTAAATATTTTACATATTAATTAAATATTTAAATAACAAAATATTTAACATGACAAAATTTTAAATCGTTAAAATAATAAAAGTATGTAATAAATTTAAAAAAGTCTTAAAAGTAGAAAAATAATTATAATAGAACTCATAATATTCATATTAATAATAATTTAATATTTTGCAAAATTAATAACGAATTATGTAATAATAGTACATTAATTTTATGGATTATTAAATTCAATAAATAATTAATATTTTAAGAAGTTAACTAACAATATTATGTCAATAACTAAATAATATTGTAAATAACTAATTTCACTTATATCAATTAATAATTATAGAAAATAACAACCAACAAAATTATAATTTTTAGTAATAATTTTACAGCAATAGTGAATATTCATTATATATTTATATATACTATAATTAATACTTATTTCATTTTCAGTAATTATTAATTGTTTTTATAAATTTGCTTCTAATAATTATTTATAAATATATTTTTATTTTTTCTATTTAATAGAAAATTATCAATAATTATTGGAGATTAAACAACTATTATTTAGCTTTTGAAATTTAATTTATTGTATTTAGTGTATTTTTGTTATAAATTTATTTTTAGTAATTATATATTTTCTAGAAATTATAGATTAATACTTCTTAGAGATTAAACTATTATTTAAGATTACACTATTTATTGATTAATTTAGTATATTTTCAGTATTTATTATATTTTTGTAATTATTGTATTTTTATTATATCTATTATATTTTCATTATAAACTTATTTTCAATGATTGTGTATGTTTGCTATAAATTTTCAATAATTACTGGAGGTTAAACTAGTATTATTTATTAGAGATTATACTATAAATTTAGTTGAAATTAGGAGTGTTCAATGATTAATTTAGTTCAGTTGCAAACTGTTTCGCCGACCAAATTGATCTGGTCAAGTTCGTAATTTGTCACTTGAAACCGATTGACTATTAGTGAAAATCCAGCAACTCGGGTTGTATCGATTTGGGTCTATTTTCGGTTTAATTTGTTTGTTCAAAAGATTTAAACTTAAAAATTAACTTTTAATTTCATAAATTACAATGATATTATTAAAAAATAAATCTATGATATAAAATATTTTAAACTAACAAATATGGCAATTTTCCTACTTTCTCATATTAAAAAATTAAATTTAAAATATAATTTTTAGATCTAATTTTTTATTTTTTTTGTCAGAGTGGGTCATCCGTTCAGACCAAACAATTAGATCGTTCGACACCAAAACATCTCCCTATCTAGTCCAATTTTAAAAACTCTGGACGGGGAGTGGGTGCCTTGCCTTAAGCTTGGCTTGGTGTGCGGCATGGCCTGGCCCAAGGCCCGACCCATGGACCAGCCCGACCCACGGCACTACACGGGCCCGTGTGCGGGCTTAAGCCATGGGTCATGCCAAACCGACCCCCCAAATTATCCTAGAGGGAGGCACGACCTGGGATGCCTCGTGGGCTAGCACGACACAACTTGCACTTTGTGTAGGCCACATGCGGGTTGTGTCATACCGACCCAACACGACCTAATTTACACCTCTACTTGAACCTGCCCAATATTGGGGATAGGGCAGGGAGATTTGAGGATTCTCCTTCCTTGATGAAGAATGGGGTACCTTGCCCCTGAACTCGGCTAACATTGAGCCCTGAACCCGCATGACACTGGGGACGGGGTAAGGAAAGGGATGGGGTGCTATATAATTGTTAATTATTAGTGGAATTAATAAAAATGTTAATTTTTATAATTCTTTTTATTTATTTAAAAATTAATCAAAATTTTATTTAAAAATAATAAAAAATAAAAATTATTAAATTACTACAAATTATTAAAAAATATTTATTCATATTCAATTAACAAAAATTATTTTTTTATAAATAAATATTAAATGAAAAAATTATTAAATCTTTCAGGATTATAGCAAAGGGTCCAAAACTCTTAATAAGGGTAAAGGAGGAAGGAGAGGCTTTCTAATGTAGCCTAAACTACTATAGTATAGATGTAGATAGATTCAATAAACACTCATTTTTCAAATAAATACACCAAAACTTACCTCACCTCAACCCACTTCTTGTGACAAAGATTTCGATCACAACGTATGTATATGGTCATCAAATTCTCCACCACCATTTAGATCTAAAAGGAATGAACGAAGACTTGAAAGAGGAGGTTGTCCATGACAAAGGCCTAATTGACTTCTATCTTCTCTATGCCGCGACTCATAAATGGTGAATAAGAATGGGGAAGATGGATGGTGTGCATCTTAATGGGATTTGTGTAGTGAACTGAAGATAGTGTCTCTATCTTGGCCATTAAATGGTGAGGTTTCTTAACTTCTCCAAGCTTGGACATACAAATATATAGGTTAATGGATTTTCCATAAATTATTTACTAAATGGAATTTTTAAACAAATTAATTTCTTCCATAGCTCAGCTTTGTTTCTCCTTTTCTCCCTTCAACATCTACTCAAACGGAAGATAGGCAGCTTCCTTTCTCTATTTGCTTCTTTAACAATGTTAACTCTTGGCCAGTTTTATTTGAAGGCAGCTCATTTGAAGTCAAAAAACCAGACCATCCACATTGGTGTCATTACTGAAGCGAAAAAAAAAACATTGGTGTCATTACTCACCTCAAGTTTCTGTCATTTTCTATCAATGCAACGAATTTGTAAATTTATGTTCACAATTTAATTTCTCTTAACGCCATTCGTTCTTTGGTGTTACTTCTTTTTATTTCAAAAAATAAATCATTGAAACCTGGTGAGGTGTCAATGAACCGATTTTGGGTTGGATTCGGTCCAAATCAAAGTCCATTTAGATAAATTGGACGGATCAATATGACATTGGATTGGACCTGATTCATCCATAATGAATTTATATTGGATTGAGTCAATATCTGATCCATTGATAAAAAATAAGAACAGGTAGGTATCAATGGACCAAGTTTGAGTTGAAACCAATCTAAATTAACAAGAATTTGAACAGATTGAACGGTCTTTAGACTAGTCCAAATTGATCCAAAATATTCATTGGACTAGATTGGACAAGGTCCATCTATAATGGACTCACATTGGACTGAACCGAATTGGATAAAATCCAGTCCAATTGACACCCCCAAGTCGAGTAGCAATCCATTGAAACCTAACATTTATTTAATTTAATTAAGATATTAATTTATCTTGGGGTCATTAGTGCGGCAATAATTTACAAGGTAAATTGACGCTTAATGCTTTTTTATTTCAAGCCAAAAGAAATACCATAAAGTAAAAAACCTTAAACCCTAAATCCCCACTGATCTTCTACTCTGGATTTCATTTCAGCACTTAAAAAGACTGACTGTTTCAAGTTGAAGTATAATTTTATTTGCATTAATTCAAAAGCGAGTGCAAATGAAAAAAATGCAAATTCTCGTCAATTTTATTTTAGTTTCTACTTTATTATGCTTAATGTCTTAATTCGCTTCATTTGTTAAATAAAAATAGATCATTAGTTTACATTCAAATTATTTACTCTCATAGTTTTGCATCAATGCAAATTTATTTGAATCGCAACCAAGCTCAGCTTTAGAACAAAGAAACAAGATCAATACCGAATACCTCCCTTCATCGGGTTTCACCTCCAGGAAGTGTGATTCGGTTGTTACAGTGGAATTTAAATGTGGAGCCCAAATGGAGCAGGCGAGAGCGTAGAAGCATTAACTCGCCTGCAACGATGGACACCGTTGATTTACCAGACGCGTAACTGTATCAACCATTTGGATCATATAGATCTAGGGTGGATACCTGACTAATGTCTGGATCGCCGACCTAAATATCACTGAATATTCAAATAGAAGAGATGGAGCAATACACACAGAAATTAGCTTAAAAGAGACGCAAAATTGCAACCTTGAAAAAAAATAATTGGTATCCAAGTCTTGACAGGGACGACGCCTTTTCGGAGGGGCATCATCCGGGATAGGGGTAAGGCTTGTAAATTCGCTTTAGCTGGTTATGGGAGGTGTAGAGAAACCATAGAAGACCACACACAGAAAAGGAATGAATCCTCCGTCCTCCACACCACATCACCAGCCCAATCCCTTCCAAGTACGAACTACCACCACACAGAAGACAGAACAAAAATAAAAGAAACTGTAAAAAATGAAACAACACTAGTTGCATGAGCAAATGTATCAGATCGAGACAAAGGAGAATCCGTGAGACTAAACAAAGGAATTCACCTGGTCAGATGATCGAGCATTCGATTTGGCTGGCCTTAGGAAGCATTCCATCATGAAACGTATATACTCCGTACATACGCATCAAGACGCCACTTTACCAGCACTTCTTCGTTCTACACGCCAACGAAGAACGAAGAGTGAGGAAGTAACAGAAGGAAAACGAAAGCAAAATTCGTCGCAGAGTTAAAGCAGAGAGGACGTAAAGCTTGAAAAATCTCCTAGGGTTTTACTCCCAAGGCTCGACCGAGAACGAAAGAAGGCGAGGGCGGACAGGGATTTATATAGAAATTAGGATTAGGGTTTCACGGGTTATGGCTTGTGGCTTACAGGAACATGAAATGACGATTTTGCCTATGTGCTTTTCATTTTTCCAGGGTTGGGCCGGGTCAACTCTAGACCAACCGGCTGGCGAAACGGAAAGGTGTGGGTGAAGCCGTGAAGGTACTAAAAAGGAAAAGTGATAACATACACGCTTGCCTATCAGATTAGATTTTTTTTTTTCTGACTACAGCTAGCCATAGACCTTACCAATCAGCTGATTGGCATCTTGCAAATCTATGAGATTATATTAAATGAAAAATGTAAGGAATATAAGAAGGGTTAGGTACACTGCAACTAGACCTGTTTATGGGTTAGGCCGGGCTTTTACTCTTCACTAATAGAAATTTTTCAGGCTCGGGCCCGAGCTTGAAGCCCGACCAGGAGTTTGAGCACCGCCGATGCCCTCTGAGATTGAGAGAATGGTATCTGGGCTGAGTCTACTGATTCCAGGGAATCTAAGAGTGAGAATAGAAACTAAGAAAGTGAGAAGATATAAGATGAAAATAGTGTTGGCCAGAGAGAGAGAAAGAGAGAGCTCACCGCCGGAGAGAGAGAGACAACCTAGGCTAGATCTGGTGGCACCAGCCACTGGTGCCTAAGTTCGTAGAGTGAAAACAATGCGCCTGAGTTCTGGTGGCACAGATTGGAGAGAGAACTAAGAAGATAGAAGACTTAGTTCTAAGAAGAGAGAGAATTGAGAATGAGATGATAGAAGATGAAAACAGTGCCGACTGGAGAGAGAGAGAGAGAGAGAGAGAGAGAGAGAAATGATCTAGTTCTGGTGGCGTTGGTTGTCGGTGCCTAAGTTCGTAGGTGCAGTTGGGTTCGCAGATTGTGAGAGTTTGAGGGGGAGAAATGAGAGTCGATTGAGAGTATGAGAATGAGAAATGATAATGAAAAGAAAAGATTTTAAGAATTTAGGGTTAAGGTTAGGGTTAGGCAGTTTGGGAATTTAGGTTAACTTATACAAAGGTCAGGCCAATTTTTTTTAACAAATCCTGAGCCCGGCCCGCAAAATAGTCGGGCTCGGGCTTTTAGGCCCAAGGTCAAGTTTGCAGGCTTAAATGCATTCTCAAGCCCGTCCGGGGGCCAGGCCGGCCCATGATCAGGTCTAACTGCAGCCCAATGCAAAAATCTAAAATAACAGCCCCCATACTTTACTAGTACNCCCCCCCCAATTTGGCAGCAATTCGTGGTCCAGATTCATCCCCTATACGGTGGGGTTAAAAAATTCTAACTTGACTGATCAGTCATTCTTCCAAAAAAAAAATAAGTACATCAAAAATACCCATTCATGTCTAAACAGCTAATATTAAGAATTGTTTTATAATAGAATCTACGAAATCATATATAAAAAAAGTGGTATTGAAGGATAATCGTGTATAATCGTCAAAATTTATTTACTAGATTATGATAAAAATGGCATGCATAAATATATACGTCTTCATTCATCTCACCCTCTAAAGACCCTAATAGGGCCCTAATTGTGTGTTTGTTATGACGAAGATAACATACACACTTGTTATATCCCCTTGTAACTCCATTTCCTTAGTTTTGCTTTCCTTCTAATAATAAAAGAAAAGGAAGAAAATAAGAAAGGAGGTTTTCTTTCACTTGCTCACTAAAAGAAGGGTATTACACTTTTAATTCACCTATTTTTGTTTCAAATTTTAGCTTATTTTGTTTTATTGCAGTACAAATAAAGTAAATTTAGACATAAAACAAAATAAATTAAAATCCAAAACAAAATTAAACAAGAATTTTCATTTTTTACATTTGCACTCTCATGCATTTGTACTAGTGCAAATAAATTTGCACGGCAACCAAACATAGCCTTTGGGTTCAATATTCCCTTTCACTTGCTCACTAAAGGAAGGGTTTTACACTTCTAATTCACCTATTTTTGTTTCAAATTTTAGCTTATTTTATTTGATTGCAGTACAAATAAAGTAAATTTAGACATAAAACAAAATAAATTAAAATCCAAAACAAAATTAAACAAGATTTTTCATTTTTTACCCCCCCCCTCCCGCTCCCACCACCACCACCACCACACACACACACACACACATAACATAAATTAGCGGAGAAAGAAGCCTAGATAAAGCACACAATTACAACCAATGAAATGTTCTCTTTCCTCATAAAAAATTGCCTAAAATCTATTTCTCTCTCTCTCTCTCTCATTCCCAATAACCAATGTGCCATAGGCAAGTCTTTTTAGAAAGATCTTCTAGTAGCTTAGTTGGCCAAAAGACATTGAGCTTTTGGGGTCATGCCTTTAAAGACAAAGACTGTTTGGTAAGCAGCTCAGTCTACCGGGATATTAAAAACGTGTTTAGAGGCTTTATATCATGAAGAACGACTAGAAAGCTTCATTTTAAGCTTCTCAAAATTCGGCATTTTCAGTCTTTTAAGGTATTTCTCCTTGCATGCATCTTCTCGTCTTTCCGGTTTTTTGTTACCAAACAAAAAAAAAAGACCAATTTTTCGTCATTCAAGCTTGCTAAAGCCTAGAAGACCACACGGAAAGACTTGCCAAATGCCGCCTAGATAACATCATCTCCTAAAATGTCTCCTAAACTACCTCTTCCATTTTCTCCTAAATTATCTCTAATTCCTATTTATCCTCTCCCCCACTTTTTATCTCTATATCTATCTAAAGAAAGTTTGAATTAAAAAATTAAAAAATTAAAAAATTAAAAAATTAAAAAATTAAAAAATATTCTAACAAAATTATTTAATAATATTAAAATATTAATTAAAAACACAAAATATAATTATAATAGATTTAATAATATTCATATTATTAATAATTTTATATTTTTAGAAAATTCATCACAAAATTATGTACTAAAAATTTAAATTACTGTTTTCTAGATTATTCAATTTAAATGTTATTCAAATAATAAAATTTTAATATTAAAAACAAAATATTATTTAAAAATTTCAATAACTGAATATCTTAAATAAAAAATATAATAAATAGCTAAATAATTATATAACAAAATATTTAATATTATGTAAATAACTTTAAAATAAATAAAATTCAAATAATGAAAAATTTTATATATTATTTAAATATTTAAATAACTAAATATTTTAACTAACAAAATATTTAACATAACTAGATTTTAAATAGTTAAAATTACAAAATTATGTAATAAATTAAAAAAAAAGATCTTGCAACTAAAAAATAATTATAACATAATATTCAAATTAATAATAATTTAATATTTTAAAAAGTTAATATTTATTAATAATAATATTTAAACTCTTAATATATATTTATATATACTAAAATTAATAATTATATTGTATTTAAGTAATTACTTATTTTTTTTATAAACATATTTTCAATAATTATTGGAGATTAAACTATTGTTATTTGATTTTTAAGTTTAATTTATTGAACTTATTGTATTTATTATAAGTTTTTTATAATTTATTGATTAATATTTATTAGATATTAAACTATTATTTGATATTATACTATTTATTGACTAATTTAATATTTTTTAGTAATTATTGTAACTATTGTATTTTTATTTTTATTTACTGTATTTTTATTATCAATATATTTTCAATAATTGTGTATTTTTTGCTATAAATTTTTAATAATTATTGGAGATTAAACTATTGTCATTTATTAGATATTAGACTATTAATTTAGCTGAAACTAGGAGTGTTCATGGGTTGGTTCAGTTTGGTTGTAGGTTGTTTGGTCAACAAAATCAACCTGGTCAGGTTAGGGAGCTCGTCACTCGAAACTAACTGACTATTAGTGAAATCCGACCAACTCGGATTGTATCAATTTAGGTTGATTTTCGGTTTGGTTTGTCAATTCAAAAGATTTCAACTTAAAAAAATTAAATTAAAAAATTACAATGGCATTATTAATAAATAAATTTAAAAATTAAATTTATGACATAAAATATTTTAGACTAAGAAACATGGGAATTTTCCCACTTTCCTATATTAAAAATATAAAATATTAATATATATATATAAATATATGGTTAGGTCTTACAGTTTTGGTTAATTTGCAAATGACCAACATGAAATTGATCCAACCTAGTCAGGTTGGGAAATTGTTGAAACAAAGTCGACCAGAAATACTAGAAAAAACGACCAACTTGTCAAGTTGGTCGGGTTGGTCGGTTTCATCAATTTGATGAACAACCCTAGCTAAACTTAATTATTGTTATTTTTGTATTGTAAAATAGTTATTAAAAGTAGTATACAAAATATAAGAGAAAATCCATTATGAGGGAAAGATATGGTATCGAAAGAGTTTTGACTAATTAAAATCCACCCATGAATTTTGATAAATAACACATGATTGGCTACCATGTTTATGATACCAATTGATTGGTAAAAACTTTTCAGATATCATATCTTTCTGATATCATAGTCGAACCCTAAATATAAATAATTATTAGTTATTTAAAAAGTTAAATATAAAACAATTGCATACCTTGATGTGTTTCTATTGTTTAGCTTTCGCTTAACAAATCATGTGCATCACACGGGTCCCCACTACTACAAATATGTAAGGTGCAAACCTTATATTTTATGTTATTTTGTATGTATTTGTACTATACATATTTCTATTTGTATTCTTCCCAAACTTACATGTCAAAACAACTCGGAAGATAAAGCCAAAAAACAAGGTAAAGGATTAAACAAGCATGCCAACTCTAAGCTTAGATAACATAAATCATTAATGACAATAGTGTTACTAAAATTAGAACAAAACAATGTACTCTCTATTATTTCTTAAATCCAGATAAGAAAAAGAGTGCTGAAAGAATCGAAACGAGAGAAAAATAAAAACCTTGAGAGCTAAGAGGGCTTCTTCGGTCCATCTTTGGATCTCTCGAAGAACATCGATTGTATTTACTTAACCAACCACCCAACCTTCGATT